AAGACCAGCATAAAAAATTATTAATTTACCCGTTTTGTAGAGAATTACGTCTTCTTCAAATTCTATACTTACGCGGAAGGCTATAATTCGCTTTTAAAGAAGTTTCCAATTATGAGATTCTTTAAAACCGTAAAATGCCCGTTCATAAAACATCTTGTCTCTGCATTTACTAATGCTGCTTGTGAAGTTTACATTATACTTAAATCCACTGGCGAATTTCATGAACCCTATACCGGCTTCCTCGTAATAATGTAAAGGAATGTGTGATTTTCCGCACATAGAAAAAACGTCTTGCAGTTCAGAAAACCTGAATGTAAGTGTAACGGCTGGTCGGGTTCAAGATTATTCGGGAATTGGAAAAGCTCTGTTAAAACCGAATCATACCCTTCCTTCAAGTATATAATTTGCAGAAGGCGAAACATTCTATCAAAAATGCCAAGGAATGTATATTTTCATGCATGTTTTCTAATGGATATATTTGGATTTATGAGGACATCGAACATCAATAGGAAAAATTCATGAAATTTTAAGTAGTCATTTTTTGCAGAGTGCAATTTTGGCAGGCGGCTGGAAAGAAGTTCGTTCAAAAGCTGGCATCCAGAAGCAACGGAAATATCTTGGAATTATGCCGCACGATGATAAACATTACAATCCTCCCAACGTAGTCTGTTGGAGTCGAAAATGCATTTCCGAATTTCGGTTAACATTTCCTGAGTTAGCACATCTACTGTATGCATAGGAATTAACTAGGCCTCGAACATTTATCACGTGATGTCTGCAACATCGTCGATGGGGTTGATGATGCAGGATCCCCGAAACTAGTCGCATATTAGAAAGGGTACAGGCTATCGTTGCATTAGATGGTGAACATTGCCTACAGTTCAACAAGAGGTCACCGGCCAACAGACACAAACATACAATCACAAACTGCAGTATGGGGTGACTCATGACCTCGAAAGTATGCTTGCGTAAGTCGGTGCGACTCAAACGCTATTTTTAGAATATCGGGGTACTATACTTCGGTGGCTAGGGCCAGTGGCGACAAAAGGGTCAATTTCTTGACCGACACCACCAACAACAAGCAACCAATTGCTAAAAAATTATAGAGCGACTCAGTCTGTGAACTGCACCTTAGGTAATCCTTGAGGTTGAGCTTGTGCACCATGCGAACAATCAGCTCATCTGGGGGCAAAACCGCGACCGCTTGCTGGAGAAGCTGATAGTCCCGTCCCACTGTCTCCCCTGACAAACTTGTAGACGCCTCCGCCAGCTATTATGACAATCAAGACAGAGGGAGTGCCATAAGGCTAGGAATATCAGCCGCACTACATAACACCAATCAAAGGAGTCGAGTGCTCACTCACAAGATTTCCAATTAGGTTATCGTTTGACAGCCACAGGTTGGCTGAGCACTGAGCAAAGAAAGCGACCATCTGCAGTGGCCTCTCAATTGCCAGATTTGCGAAACCCTAAAACATATGAAATGGAAAGTGCTTACGGAAGTAAAAGCGAATTCAGTGCTACGTGGTGAATTCGATAGGTGACAGACCTCATCAGCCAGACCGAGGGTGGTGGGATCAAGACCCATTTCGATACCATGTCCGTAAAGGGCTGCCAGTAGCCGAGGCAGAGGCTGAATAATGCTCACTTTCATTACTGCCACATCGTACTCGTAGACTTCCGACGTAGCTTCCAGAGTTTGGAAAGTAATCTTTTTGATTTTTGCCTCCCCACAACCGCTGAGGCCACCTCTCTGTGTGCGTGTGAAAGGCCCCACTCGGAAACAATGATCTATAATGCCGACGCGTTGCTCAAAGGCCTGGGAGAAGAAACGAGAAAGATAAACTGTCTTCCTTTGGTGGAAACAGAGGCAAAGGCACAACCATAAAGGACGTTACTTCATACTTTAATCAGTAAGGTTTAACGCTTTTGGATGATTGAACTTGCGAAGGACACTCACCTCTCGGGTTTCCTTGATGGCAGAGAGAAGGAGGGAACGATCGGTGCTAGCAAGCTGAGCGGTGCGCGAAATGACTTCTTTAAAAGTACCAATTATGGCGATGGGGCCAGGCAACTTCTGCTGCATCCCTGCATGACCTTCGAGTGTGCGTTGCATGGCGTTCATGTCCTTGGGGAGAAATAGCACGACCGATGAGTGAGGAATAGAAACAAAAGAGCCATCTCTGGCCTGCCTGCCGTCGTCGGTCAGCCAGAGGAAACTCCAGGACGGAGAGGAATCGGGGTTCGAACACGAACGACTTAATCGTTGAACAGTTGCATCAACCCTTCTATCAACCCTTCTATCGGTGGTGTCCACCGGCTGGCCGGTGACGACAAGCACGCCATAAATGGTCATACCAGTTTCCGCCTGTCTTGCCAGCAAAATTTCAGGCGGCAGAAATGTCCGTAAAAGTAGTTTATTACTAAAAGCAGGCCTTAGCAACACAGGGCATTACCTGTATGAGACTGAGGATTCTTAGGAGGCAGCGGAAGTAGGCGATAAAGTTCTCCTTCGATCCCGAATCCCACCATCCTTCTGGACAGCTCTCGCTTTCCCCAGCCAATGGTCTCATGGTAAGTAAGCCAGCCAAAAGCCCGAGGAGGTAATGTGTGCTACACAGGGCGCGGCCGAAGGGTGTTAGCAGCGCCTGGTTTCCTTCGTCGTACAACCAAACGAGTGCGGCGGACGGATAGCGAGGCTGTTCAGCCAAACTGTCCACGCCAGTCGACGTTGCTGTGCGTGTGTACTCATGCGCCCGATGCCAGGCCGCGCGATTCGCAATCCTCAGGGTCTTCAGGCGATTTCGAAGGTCTGAAGAAAAGTGCTGGAATGTGCAGTTCGGATTGAAGAGATCGGCGAGGCGCCTGCGAGAGTGCTGAGTTGCATAGAAGGCAGGAAGTGGTACGGAGTTGGCGGCAAATGTCCGAGAGAGGTAGGAAATCAGACGCAAAGGGGCATTGCTCTGATGCAACAGTTGTCGGGCCTGAAAGGTGGAAGAGGCAGGGCGAGGGGAGAGACTGTAGCAACAGCACCCGAAGGCCTCAAACACTCGTCCTCCACACCGCGGTTACTGCAAGTTAATAAGAATCATAATGTTATTAATATGAGAACCGAGATGTATGTTGAGATGGACAGGGGTCGTTCGAGATGGAAGTCCCAATACGTGAGTCTGGCTTGTGCAACTTCTACGTTCAATGCGGCTACATAACCGTTCTGCTTCACAAGAACGACAAACGTTACCTTCGCTGTCGCGTCCACTAGACAGGTTACCGCGATGTGAGTGGTAGTCAGCTACCGCCTGTAACTACAAGACAGCGTCTTAGACTACTGGCTGAAACTTAATTAGGTTAGTTGACGAGTCACACCCGGCTCAATGAAGCGGTGTGTTTGGTCAGAGAGTAGAAGTGATGCCTAATAAGTAAATACACCATGCAGGAGTGGTAGGTCATTTCATTAGCCTGGTGAACGAATTCGTCACCGCCGACAACGTCAACACCCCCTCCCAATAACCAGACAAGACGAGATAAGTGTTCTGAGAAGACACGTACGTCCTCAAACGTCATTAAGATTCGTACGTAACGTGCATCTGCTCGGTCTGGCCTCCTCTATGGTCATGAATGCTAGACTGTGCGCGTGGAGGACGAGCGAAACCTGAAGGTGTTTGACCACCACTGCTGGAGGACCATCCTGCGAGTGAAGTACACCGGATTCGCCTCAAATGAGACAGGCCGCGCTCGCTGCAGCAACATCTCAAGGATAACCCAGGTTATCCAAGAAAGACGACTGTAATTTGGGCACGTTCTTCGTCATCCGCTTTAGAAGCCCAATGTTATTGCCCTCAATTCGGCACCGTTGCCCTACTGTAGGTGCCGAAGGGGGGGGTCAGCCCAAAACCTGACTCGACACTCTTCGTCAAGACATGGAAGTGGTTTCTTGGATCTTCGGCATTCGGTCTCAGTCGTTGGCGAAGAGAATGGGTTGGAATGGCCAAATCTGCTGACGCGGATAGTCACGCGTGGAGAGGTACGGCTCGGGATATTATCGGGGCTGGCTAGGTAAGGCATGATCGCAACCGAACTAAGTACAATTAGGTCAACCGCGACACCTGACACGGAGTGATCGATTCGAGCCCATCAGAAATATCATGACCGGTAACGACCGTGAAACAGCTGTCTACGTCTGGCCTGTTGCACTCTTAGCGAGCTGCTCATGTATTATATGTGGTATGTGTCCTCTGACACAGCGTTCGTTGTCGCCAGTAGAAAGCTGGCGGGTGGACAGAATGGGATCGAGTGAGATCCTAACCACAACAGTGAGGATCAAACGCCCACTTGACATGCTTATATACCTCACTTCATAAGCCCTGTAACGTACTGGTGATCGATAACGACCGTGAAACAGCTGTCTGCGTCTGGCCTGTTGCACTCTTAGCGAGCTGCTCATGTAATATATATATGGGCAGAAATGGTATTACCGACAAAGACAAGGGAGACTGGAATGGCCATTTCTGTCTTATTAGCCGTCGTCAGCCAGCCATACCCGTCCAAAGTGTGGAACACCCGAGCCTCGAACTCGCGACCTGTTGGTTTAGAAGTCCACGCCTCTACCCACCGGGCCACGAGCCCGTTGCCCTGTCGGTTTTTGATCGGGAATATACAATGTTAGGGGGCGTTCACCGATCGTTCATACGGAACTCACTCGTTCCGTTGTGCCTTAAGGGCTATCTCTCGTGCCCAACCAGCAGCCGCGCAGCGGCGCATGATATATAGGCAGGATGATATTACCGACAAAGACAAGGGAGACTGGAATGGCCATTTCTGTCTTATTAGCCGTCGTCAGCCAGCCATACCCAAGCCCGAAGTGTGCGGTCCGCTGTGTGGCTGCTGGTTGGGCTCGAGAGAGAGCCCTTAAGGCACAACGGAACGAGTGAGTTCCGTATGAACGATCGGTGAGCGCCCCCTACCATTATATACATTTATATATATGGATATAGGCAAAAATGCTGACCCCAGGTGTTAATATGGAAGAGGAGGATGAGGCGATCTCTGGGGAAGAAGGTTTATTCATCTGACGTTTCGTGTTCAAGCTCGAGCACATCATCGGAGATAGGCTAAGTGAGAAATACAGGGTTTAAATAGGCCATCTGCACTCGAACCTATCGGGTGATGATGATGATGATGATGATGATGATGATGATGATGATGATGATGATGATGATGATGATGATGATGATGATGATGATGATGATGATGATGATGATGATGATGATGATGATGATGATGATGACAAACGTTATCGGTAATGCGCATATCTGGGATGGTGGTGGTGGTGGGATGATAGGGAATATGATAAAGATGGTTGCAAAGATGAGAAAGAGTAGCAGATGTGAATTAAAAGCCGACTGCACAAGCATATAAACACGAACAGGCATAGAGAACACGTACCAGTTTGGGGTGAGCGAAGGCTTGATGACCGAGAAAGCGGAGTCTCAAATCGTCGGCAAATTTGTCGTAAGCTTCGTTGTGAACAAGTCTGTCAAAATGCTGTGTGCCAGAGAAAGCGGAAGAATGTACAGCACAAAGGTAGTATTTGGAGGTAAGCGCATCATCGTTTTTATAAACAGGAAGCAAAAAGAACATCCGGAAAAGGAGTTCTGACTGATGTTAAAGGATCCACACGTCAGGGTCTGGTTAGATGCCAGGGGAGGAGAGAATACAATGAAAACCTATTCGTGATGAATTCTACTCGTTCACCTCAGGCTAACTTGCATCTCCAATTTTCACGCTGATTCTTTCGCTGCCTATGAGGAGACCACTTCTCCGGAATTTGGCCTGTTAGGAGGGCATGTGAATTGCAGATCATCAGTGGCTTTTCAGTACACTTGAATCCCTAGAATTTCTGGTGATAATCAAGAAGCCAGTGCCACCATCAAGAAGCTCTGTCATAACCGAATCATCTGTAAAGACTAACTATTAAGAAAATGCTCATTCTTCGGACTTATAGCCCAGGGTGCCAGGAGACTGAATGAAGACGTCCATCTTCGAATATGTGAAACCAAGGGAAACTGTCTCTAGATTTCCACACCAATATCCTCTTTGGCCTTCGTGGCAGGATCTTCAATTAACTAACACGCTTTGACCATGGAGCCTAAGGCCCGACTTTGTCTCATGAGCACAGACTTGGCGTCAAACCTTACACAACGGCGCCCAGGATTGTTAGATCTGATCGTCTTACAGCAGTTGCAGATTGAACCAACCTCCAAAGATTTTTATCGGTGGACAGTTAATAGGAAGGTTTGTGAGTATCGGTCGACCACCCAACCCCACCCCCCAGTTGGACCAGCGACATCAAAATCGACAAAAACTGGCAGTTTTGTTAATTCGCACCTTCTAAAACAGTCCTCCAGTAAGGAGTACAGGTGTCGGAAACTGCTACGATAGCATCACCCAGGCACACTCCCACTCGCTCCCTTCCATGAGTTCGGTCCTGATGATGACGACGACGATATCCGGGACTTATAGTTTAACTGCAGGCGAATGGGGACCGTCAGCTTGAAACCTGACTCGAGGAGAGCAGCGACGATTTGAGAGAGGTTCGCGGTCCTTCAAATGCTGTTTTGGTTGGAGGAAAATGGGTGGCGGGTCGAAACCGCCAGATCTGATACGGCAACCAGCAGCGTACGGACAGCCAGTGTGCTTCAGACCAAGGAACCCGAGTGGATTCATAAAGTTCAGACATATCCCAATTACAAATGCAAATTAATTGTTTGACGGGCGTGCAGATATGGCAACTAATTGTAGCACCGGGAATAACTACACATTCAGTAGTAACTTCCTAATTATTCCCAGGCCTACAGTGGTAAGACCAATGACTTCATGTTCAACACCTCAAACGTCATCTACATAAGAAGGGCTATGTTCGCAACCGACAGAAGCGCATGAGGCAAGAAAGTATACTTTTCAAACCCGGCATTCTGTGGAAAAATACACGTTAATTGACAGTTCGACCATCGGTTTCGATGATGTCCACCGTTTGCCCCACAGTTGCAGCAGCAATGGGAGCAGGGACGGTGACTTACGCAGGGGTTTATAGTGCCAGTAGACTTGCGTAGCATCCACCTACACTCTCTCCTCCTCCCTCGCCCGAGCCCGGTGTCAAGACAGAGTCAAGAAGACCGGAGACGAGAAAGGCCGCAGGTGGATGGCTCGGACGGATCCTCACCTTGGCGTTCCACCACACCCCCTGGTCCACACACAAATAACCAGGATTTCAACCAACACAAGAGAGATTTGGAGGCTGGCACGGCCGAAACCGCACCTGGGCGTGCCGCCGACGCCTGGCTCGGATCCCACACTGTGGTGGGAATGCCATAAAGGCCACATTAAAAAGGAGCCATTGCAGCCTGACTCTCAGACCGCCTCCGGTCAAGGAGGAGGTCCAAGATACCCCGTCAGTTGGCAACCTTCCAAGCCACGGCTTTTAGCGCACCGTGATAGCTTCAAGCGCGTCAGATTGTTTATTGTGAGGAGAAAGTGCGCTGAGTCGTCGACCTCATTCTCCCTTCCCACTCCCACACCCCAGCCGCTGTCCGAGCCGGTCAGCAGACTGGAGTGGGGAATGGGCGCGGTGGCTGTCATGGCCGACTGACCATGACTGCGTGCGCCACGGCACGACCTGGCCCCCCATACACACAACACCAGGATTTCACACAACGGGGGTTGAACGGCGTGTCTCTCACTTGCGTGAGAGTGCCGTGGAAGGTGCTGCTTCAGCCCATCCCCAGCCCACCAGTCCGCCACTCCACACAACACACACACACACACAACGCGACGAACTGCGTGAACCGAGAGCGGGCGTCAATCAGCAACATTCCTATCCACGACGCTTGACGTGTCGGGATAGTCTCGGACTCAAGTCACCCGTGCAGCCGAAGCCGCATGGGGACCGAGTCGAGATGCGGTGGCAGTTGGGTGCATGAGGTGTGTGAGTGTTGATTTCTGGTGGGGTGATGGTGGTGGTGGAGGAGGAGGTAGGGAGTTAGTGAATGTGTGGTGTGGCCGGCGGTTGTCTACCGCAGGTCGTCGTGGATGCGCATGTGGCCGAATAGGCCCATGCGATGCCTGAAAGTGCGAGGACAGTGTGGGCAGTTGAGACGAGCTTGGTGGGTATAGGTGGGTGCTACAGGCACTGGTTCGCCAGTCTCTGTGCGATGGATTCGCAAGTGACCGGCCGGGCCGATGCGTGAAGTGAAGGTGCGATCGCAGTGAGGGCAGATGTAGTCCTGGCCTCACGTCTGATGATGGAGGTTGGAGGGGTTGTGCCTGTTGTTGTGTCAGGTGCGGCTGTGGTGAAGTCGTGAGCGACAGACGCCGAAGCGGCCGTCGTTGTGGCAGTGAAAGAGGAAGAGGAGTAGGAAGGGGAGGAGTGAGGGGTGGTAAAGTCGGTGGCATCGACGGCGGTTGCGAAGAGGTTGGTGGGTGCACAAGATGATGGACTGGGAGTGGGGCCTAGCGTTTTGGGTGTGTCAAGGCTGCGGTCAATGCCGCTCTCGTGGATGCGCATGTGGCCGAATAGACCCATGCGATGCCTGAAAGGGCGAGGGCAGTGTGGGCAGTTGAGTCGAGCTTGGTGGGTATAGGTTGGTGCTCCGGGCACTGGTTCGCCAGCCTCTGTGCGATGGATTCGCAAGTGACCGACCAGGCCGATGCGTGAGGTGAATGTGCGTGGACAGTGTGGGCATGAGAAGTCGGCGGTGTCAGTGTCAGCTACAGAGGAGGCGTTGGTGGTGATGGTGGCGCGGACGGATGGAATGAGGGTGAGGGTGTGCACGGTGGATGTGTTGGATGTGGTGGGTGTGTCGGGAGTGCGGTCAAGGCCGCTCTCGTGGATGCGCATGTGGCCAAAAAGGCCCATGCGATGCCTGAAGGTGCGAGGGCAGTGTGGGCAGTGGAGGCGAGTGCGGTGGGTGTAGGTTGGTGCTTCACGCACTGGTTCGCCAGTCTCTGTGCGATGGATTCGCAAGTGACCGACCAGGCCGATGTGTGAGGTGAAGGTACGGTCGCAGTGAGGGCAGGTGTAGTCCTGATCCTCATCCATGAAGTCGGGGGAGGTGGTGGTAGTGTCGGTTGCTGTGCGCGGGACAGTCGCCTGAGCGGCCGCCGTTGGAGCAGTGGGTGAGGAGGAGGAGGAGGAGGAGGAGGAGGAGGAGGAGGAGAAGGAGGAGGATGATGGAAGTGGTGGGTCAGAAGAATTGTCAGGGTTAGTTGGCGGCGAAGAGGAGAAGGAGGAGGAGGAGGAGGAAGAGGCAGGCGGGAAGACGATGGTTGGTGCCGTTCGAGAGGCGCAGTTAATCCGAAGATGTCCAACAAGTCCGATTCGAGCCCGGAATGTCC